TCACAGTTCTCTCCGCTAGTGCCAATTTCTCCGCACGTCGATGTTTAGACTTCAACACAAAAGGGGACACATTGTTGTCGAAGGGCTCATTTGAAGTTGGTTGGAAACAGGTTGTATTGGTAAGGTAGTCCGACCTCGATGGTCTCCCCCAGAGCTTCCCCACACCCGAGCCATGGATGAATATGTCGGCTTTCTTTTTAGCCTGAATACGATGGTTACCCCATCTGCCCATCACCGCTGTCGGCCTGTGGCATTTGACCCGGGACCCCCTTGGAGACATCGTAATTGACCAGGCCTGGGTTGTAGGAAAATGATGTTTTCCTGTTCCTGGTCCTGCGAGTTCCGCAGATCTGGGAATACCACCCCAATGACGCTCGCGTACCGACGAAATCGATGCTTCTTCCTTTTATAAGCTTGCAGGCCCCCATTCCCACCATGCAACAGGTATTTTCCTGAGCATGTGCTTCTCTCCAACTGGTTCTTCTCGCCAGCAGCACCTCTTTCCACCGGCCACGAGTCATGTGGAAGCTGCTTTTCCTTGCTTCTCTCGGCCTCGTTGCCGCAGAGGACGGCCTCGACGGCTGGCTTCGTTATGCTCGGCTGCCAGACTGCAAGTCTTCCGGCTTCGCTGACTCCTTACCCTCCACCGTCATCGGCCTCAATGCGACGGAAAACGGCCCAATTGCTTCTGCCTTGTCCGAATTGACCAAGGGCTACCAGGGCGTCCTCGGCAAGAAGGTCTCTGTCGGCCAGGACGCCTGTTTTGGTGTTTCCGTTGTCATCTCTACTGTCGAAGACTACGTTGCGGCTTGTGGAAGTAAAGGAGTCGAGGCGGACCTCATTGAGGATGGCTTCTGGCTCAGCGTCAAGAAAGACGGTGTCAAGATTCTAGGAAAGAACGAAAGGGGCGCTCTCTACGGTACCTTCGAGTACCTGAGTCTATTGGCGCAGGGCAACTTCACTGAGGTGAATTATGCGACAAACCCTTCGGCTCCTATCAGATGGGCAAACCAATGGGACAACATGGACGGCACGGGAACCCATGGCAGCATTGAACGTGGTGTAAGCAATCTTCTCTTCTTCGAATTCTTATTGAATACGGGTTAGTCTGACTTGGGCAGTACGGCGGTGTTTCCATCTTCTTCGAGAACCTCAATGTCGTCACCGACGTGACCCGAGTCTCCCAGTACGGCCGTCTGCTGGCCTCCGCCAGGATCAACGGCATCATCGTCAATAACGTCAACGCCAACGCCATTCTCCTCTCTCCCGAGAATATGGACGGGTTGAAGAGGATTGCCGACGCCTTCAGGCCATGGGGTGTTCAGGTCGGCATCTCCCTCAACTTTGCCTCGCCACAAACCTACGGCAACCTTTCCACGTTTGACCCCCTCGACGAGAGCGTTATTGCCTGGTGGGGAAACATCACCGACGAGCTCTACGCGCGCATTCCCGATATGGCTGGATATCTCGTCAAGGCCAACTCAGAGGGTCAGCCCGGCCCCCTGACCTATAATAGGACGCTGGCAGATGGTGCCAATCTCTTCGCTAAAGAGCTCAAGAACCACGGCTCCAAGAAGGGCATCGTCATGTTCAGAGCCTTTGTCTACGATCATCTCACGCTGAACGAGTCCGATTGGCGTGCTGATCGCGCCAACGCCCAGGTCGAGTTCTTCAAGCACCTCGATGGCCAGTTTGATGATAACGTCATTGTACAAATCAAGTATGGCGCCATTGACTTCCAGGTCCGGGAGCCCGTGTCGCCTCTGTTCGCCAACATGAAAAATACCAGCATGGCCATCGAGCTGCAGGTCTCTCAGGAGTACCTCGGCCAGCAGGATCACTTGGTCTACCTACCTCCTCTCTGGAAAACAATCCTCGACTTTGATCTGCGCATTGACGGCCAACCTTCTGTTGTCAGTGACATTCTGTCCGGCAAGCGCCTCAACAGGCCTCTCGGTGGCTACGCTGGTGTCATCAACGTTGGCGCCAACTCGACCTGGCTTGGAAGCCATTTGGCAATGTCCAACCTCTACGCCTACGGTAGACTTGCGTGGAACCCCACTGACGATGTTGTCACCATTGTCCAGGACTGGACCCGTCTAACATTCGGCCTCGACCGCAAGGTCGTTGACACGATTGCCAAGATGTCTATGGAAAGCTGGCACGCCTATGAGAGCTACAGCGGTAACCTGGGAATCCAGACCTTGACTGACATTCTTTACGCCCACTACGGTCCCAGGTAAGCAAGGAGCCAATTCAATTTTTTTCTTCCAGACACTAATTCCAAGATCAGCCCGCGCAGCCAAGACGGCAACAGTTGGGGTCAGTGGACCAGAGCGGACGGAGACAGCATCGGCATGGACCGCACAGTGAAGAACGGCACCAGAAACGCAGGGCAGTACCCTCCCGAGGTGGCAGCCATGTACGAGGAAATCGAGACGACCCCGGACGACCTGCTCCTCTGGTTCCACCACGTGCCCTACACACACAAGCTGAAGAGCGGCAAGACGGTCATCCAGCACTTTTATGACGCGCATTACGACGGCTCGGCCACGGCGCAGACCTTTGTGCCGCAGTGGGAGTCCCTCAAGGGCCTCGTCGACGAGGAGCGCCACGAGCACGTGCTGTTCAAGCTCAAGTACCAGGCCGGCCACTCGCTCGTCTGGCGCGACTCCATCAACAATTTTTACTGGAACAAGTCAAGCATCCCCGACGAGGTGGGGCGCGTGGGCAACTACAAGTACCGCATCGAGGCCGAGCACATGACGCTGGACGGGTACAAGATCGTCGACGTCGATCCCTTCGAGGCGGCGTCGGGGTACAAGGCCATCGTGACGAGCTCCAACACGACGGCCGGAATAGCATCCACTGCTGTAAATTTCGAGACTGGGACGTACACCCTCGCTGTCAACTACTTTGACGTCATTAGGGGCAAGTGTTCGTACGTTGCGTACATCAACGACGTTGTCGTCGGCCAATGGAGGGGTAACAGCGAGGAGAAGCTGGGCCACTGGCCGTCTGAGTTCCTGGACGGGCACTCTGCTATCCGGGTCAACTTTCCCGGTGTCAAGGTGACCAAGGGCGATACGCTGAAGATTGTCGGCACGCCTGACGGGCCCGAGGTCGCTCCTTTGGACTATGTTAGCTTCTTGCCTGATGGCATCATCGACTAGGTCTTTTAATGATAAATTCTGAGCAAGCACAAAGTCTTTCGTAGTTTATATTCAAGATTCATGATATCTGAAAATTTCGATTTATTTTGGTCAGCTTTCTTCGTAATCATACTTGCAGTGTAAAGTGTGTTGTTAAGTTGTGCTTTCAATTTGTGGTTGATGTAAGTGAATTGAACCCCACAATTTCATCCGACTGGCGTATCTGAGATTTTGACTCTCTTCCCCCCGATTTTTCATCAACACATCGTCTCTTGAGCTTCAAAACCCAACGGGGGCCCTTCACGTATCCGATTGAATGTCTTGGAAAACGCGAGCGGACTTAAGACGCTCTATCTATCAAAGCTTCTTGACAGAACCAGCTGCCAGTAATACCTCGTGAGAAATTCAGTCCCTCTCAATGTCGACTTTAGTGAGACTTACACCTCTCACAGGCCCTATCCACCATGCTTCCTACGCCAGATACCTCCCACGTTCCATTTGAGCGTGTTTACGAGCCAGCAGAGGACTCGTACCTCCTCCTGGACACCCTATCAGCCTCTTCGGAGGCGTCTTTCCTCACATCACGCTTCGGCGGCGGAAGCGCCACCTCCTCATCATCATTCAAGTCAATAGCAGCCCCACTGGTGGTCGAAATCGGCACGGGCTCCGGCGTCGTAATAGCCTTCCTCGCCGCGCACTCCCTCACCCTCTTCGGCACGCCCTCCATCCTCACCGCGGGCGTCGACCTAAACGGTCACGCTTGCCTCGCAACAAACGCCACCGTCCGCCGCGCCCTCGCCGAGAACATGGAAACCGCGTCCCCGCTCTGGCTCGGCGCCGCCATGGGCGACCTCACGAACCCCTTGAGACCAGGTAGCGTGGACGTCCTCGTCTTTAACCCGCCCTACGTGCCGTCCCCGGAGCTCCCCGCGCAGTCATCGGCGACGCTCATCGCGGACGCGCAGAGGAGGACGACGTTCGACGAGGACTCGTACCTTCTTTCGCTCTCGTACGCGGGCGGGCGGGACGGCATGGAGACAACGGACCGCTTGATTGAGGCATTGCCCGGGGTCTTGAGCCCGAGGGGGTGCGCTTATATACTACTGTGTGCGCAGAACAAGCCGGACGAGGTCAAGAGCCGGATTGAAGGGTTTGGGGGCGAGTGGAGGGCCGTCACGGTTGGGGAGAGCGGGAAGCAGGCTGGGTGGGAGAAGTTGCAGATCATCAGGGCGTGGAGGGAGATGGAACGGCCTTGATATAGAAACATGAATGATCAATGGCTCTATTGTCTCGAAACCTTGGCTTACCCATGCAATTCTTCATTTAGCCACAAAACTGGTGTGCGAACCAGCCGCATGGCCGCAATTCGCGACACTGTAGCTCCTGAACTGGAATTGTATTGTTTTATTTCCCAACCACCCCCAACGCCTGAATAGCATCCGGTTGGTCTTAACGTGTAAGGTGCCTGTCTTGGTAGAGCTCAGGGCCCAAGTTGTAAAACAAAAAGTTCATCGACGGTTCGTCGTCTCTTGGGGGGGGCTGGCATAGATATTCCCCCCTGAAGAGTCTTTCATGATTCACAAACGACCATTCTTTCTTCTTCCTTGGGCAACCAGAAAGTTCCTCGGCGCCCATCAAAAATGTCGGTGTCAACCCAGAACAAGACAACAGTGTCACCTCGTCAAACAAAAAGCCGTTTCCGTTTCCCACACCCACTCAACCACGTCCGCGACCGCGTCCCCGGCCACGGCCTCTTCCTCTGGGACCGCCTCTTCCTCCACGAACAGGACCGCCGCGCTCCGCTTCCTTACGCGCCTTGTTCTTAGGCTTCGGTTGGTCGTCGATGAGCAATGTGTCGAGCGGCAGCGAGTCGGGCAGGATAAAGTATCGGATCGTCGAACCGCGGATGTTCATAGTATCGAGCGATACGGCATCCTGACCCCTAGGTGTCATCTTGACTGTGCGCAGCGCCGTGTTCATCTGCGGCGAGACTGAAGTGATCGTGCCGTGGATGATGGTGCCTGCAGTTTTGCCAACACGCGTTAGTCTGCAGTCGATATAACGGGATGCGAAGGTTTGCACATCTTTCCAGAGGAATAAAAATGAGGAGTAAGGGTTACAGACCATTCTTGAGTTCGATTGTCACCGTCTCGTTGGCGCACTTCATCAAAAATCTAAAAGTTGGAAATTCTTGTCAGCTCTTCTTTTGGCCTCGATTTACAGCGAGCGGCCTTCTGCATCTCGGAGAAGGCTCAGCACACAGACCGACTGTAAAGGGAGAGAAGGGCTGATCAATTGCGCGTACCTGACGAGTTTCATTTTGGCGACGGCGGAGTTCGGGTGTCGAGCGTGTCGTTCGTCAAATGGAAGAGCGGCTATGCTATATGCGAGTACTCGCGACGGACCCGGTTGATAGTCCTGGGTGACGGAAGGCTGAAGCTTCGGAAAAGCTCCTATCCCGCTTCTGGGAAGTGGGGCCAATGTCAAGGAGTCCTTCCATGGTCACAACCTGGAAAGGTTTAACCTCACGTGACCTTCGTCTCCACTTGTCCCTCAACGTGCATCGACGCGCCGCCCATCTCAGCTTTTCATCGTGAAGGTGAGAGCAAATTACACATTAAAGAGCTGCTATCTCTAAAACCTCTAATAGAAGGAACCAGTATCATGTCCTCGCAACTAATCTTCGCCCAGTCGGAAAAATGGAGACACCGTCAGCCGAGGCTCAGCACAAATCTCTCCACCACAGGCCCCCATTTTGGAAGCTCCCACTCGTGCCTGGGTGATTGGACATGAGCGCTTGCGATCTGAACGTGTAGGCTGTTGATTGTTCTCGCTTCAACTTCGGCCGCGCCTTCTCCAACCACACGAATTTGGAGATGTTTCTCAAGGTATGGTACGATCTCATCGGGATCAAGCCCAGAGATGGTTCGCGCCGAAACCATGTGAATTAGGGCCGATGTCAGAGGAACCGTCCCAGATACATGGTTGCCTGAACCCGTATGCTTCATCGCAAATACGCTCATTGATCCAACGAGGTTCGGTGCAGCTGCCCAAGCAACTGATTCTTTGGGAACTTCACCAAGGAAGAAATGGATCGCAAACGAGCCATTTAATGCCCCATTCTGAACACGCACATTGGCGATCCATTCGGTATACATGTCATCGTCCGTCACTACTTTGGTATGGAAATTAGGATCTTGTGAAAAGTCCGGCACGTATTTCGAACTTGTTCCTTTTCGGACTTGGGTTAGCGGCCCCCATTCGTGATCAGACGCGGCTCTTCGTTGCTTCCAGGCCAGATCGGAGGGGCTAGATGATCCGTAGAGTCTATTGATGGTTGCAATGAGGCGAGCTTGGTTATCGGACTTGTGGAATCCCAGACTTGGGTTTGTTTCCGCATACGAATATCCGAAGGCCATAGTGTCCCTGGCCATCGCCGAGTTCCAAAAGGTGCCATTGGCGTCCGCATAGAATGGTTTGAGTTCTGTAAACAAGTCTTGAACGAAACCCGGCGGCATAGTGAAGGAAGGCTCCATTGCGACTTGGGGAGTGACCCAGGCGGTAGGGTACAGAACTTGCCACATGGCGACAATTCGTTCCACCATAGTATGGTGCAAGAAGAACACCGGATCGAATGCCGAATACTGAATGTAATACAGATGGCCGCGGTCGCCCACCAATACGTGCATGGCATCGTGCAAAGACTCCACCGAGTCGTATTGAGTCTGATTCGACTCCGTCCCCCAATATTTGTTACTGAAGGGTCCAAAGTCCTTGTAATTCGAAAGGAGAGTGTAAAGTCGTTGCTGCAGCGCGGGTCTGGCATGCTCGATCGCGTGCGCTATGCTCTGGTTGTCTGTTGTCTCGAAAGGAGCTCTCATTGTCTCTGTCCAATGGGGAAACTTTTGCTGTCAGATTCTAATTCCCTTAATCCGGTGGGTGTCATTGCTTACATCGCCTTCAGAAAAGACCTCTGGGTCTAGTGGCCGAAACTTGTAGCTGTACAACGGGTTGGCAATGAACTGCCATCCGTTGGGACCATACACTTGGATAACGGGCTGCTCGAATTCGGATAAGTAGACGCTCTCTCCTAGCGGTGGTGTAGTAGCCCAATCCCAGTATGGAATTCGAAAGTCTATTGCGGCGGCTTGGTAGTAAGCTCGTTCCGTGGGGTCTGGGAACCACGAGGCGATCATCTGCACAAGTCGAAAGAGAAGTTGCTATTATGGTGTTAGTGATTGCGTGGCCAGCTACAAAGCTCAAAGGGAGCTGACCTCATATAAAGCGAGATATACACGGTGCCATGATGGGAAGAGAATGGACATGTGGGTGCAATAGCCTCTGTTCTCGCCTCCCGGTACACCGGGTACGCCGTTCCATGGTATGAAAGGAACACCGTGAATACCTGACCCATATCAGCAATCCTGTCGTCGCGGTATTCATCAATCAATCTCACCTGCGATCTGGTACCACGACAGCTCTTCGCTTTGATTCGTGAACTGGAACATGCTTGATGCGAGGAGGAAGAGATTCCACTTAAAAGGGTTCTGCTTCATCTCTCTGATTTCGGGACGGTTGGGAATGGTTCCATTTATAGAAGGCAGCTTGGTGATGATGATGGGATCATGTGTCTGGCGCTTGACCACTCTTGCCGCGTCGAAGCCATAGTCGTACGCCGGTGAGTAAGGTGTAGCCACCGCGGCGGTAGCAAGGAGGACAATGGAGAGGAGCATGGCGCAATGAAACACCTCTGCTGCACGATTTTAAAAGTATGAGAAGATTGACAAGAAGGATGGATATTGGTGTTCACGTAGGAGGATACAGAGAAGAGGTAGATGGCGGGGGGTTGAAGTATTAGCTGTCCAGGTCGATCAAAACTTCGGCACAGCCAGATCGCCGTGAGGAAAACCAGGTGGTACGGTGACAGCAAAATGATCGTGTTCAAAATTCCGGGGTTTTCGGACGTTGAGCAGTGCCGGACTCGTCGTTCAAGCTTTGACGGAAATAGCGTGGCTAAAAGAAATGTTGAAAGGGGCGGATCGAGCGAGGATATTAACCATACTGAGATATCACTCTCTGGTCCGAAACATACGTGAGTCGCGGAAGGCAAACAGGGCGCGAGTGGCACGCCGCATAGCCGTGATGATGATATGGTGCTTGCGCAAGTGAGTCCCTTGTTTTTTGGGTTGGCAGTCTCCATTTTCGAAGAAACAAGGCAGGTATCAAAACAAGATACTTCTGCATGGTGTGATCCTAATCTTCCAGAGAAAAGAGCGAGAGCAGGAGCTATTGGAGGGAATAGCAGACTGAAGGGGAAGGCACAGGTTCTTACCCTTGGTATCTTGCGGGCACAGAACGTGTCGTGCTTTCCTACCCAACTCAGGTACCTCAACGCAATATGTCTTGCCTTTTCTCGCCGTTCCAAAAGAGTTAATGATCGTATGTCACCTCAGGTACATTGCCTTACAACCAAGGACTGGTTGAACAGCATCTGACGACAATGGTGGAGAGAACAGGGCGACGTAGCGTGTCAAGTCAGCTGGAAATGTTTGGCTCGAGTGAGGTATCAACGATACGAGGAGCAGCTGGCTTTGGTGGAGCGAATCCAGACCGCTAGCAAGATCTCACTGACTCAATTTCAAATATGAACTCATCCTGAATATGAGCTCCAGCAGCTTTCCGTCATACTTTCGATTTACGGTGACCAATGAGCAAAAGCACTCACAGCTACGATGAGCCATAATCATCCAGCTTGGATCCCACGAGGCCTCCCAGGTACACGAGTTTTGTATGCCAAAGCTGTGCCATAGCTGGGGGAAATGCTGAGAATTTCCTCAGATCTGAACCGCTAATCGATGGTCGAACTTAGCATACGGCGGATGCCGACATTGTCTGTATCATATGCGCCGAGATGGTTGTTTGCTGGATTCGGTAACCTGCATGAGACAAACGGCTCTGCATTTGACTGTGGCCACTCTACACATGTTGATGTAACGTCGTCCACGCTTGCACCATTTAATCGTTTGTCAAACCCTTCCTTCGGCCTTCGGCCTGTAGCCACGAAGGCGAAGCTGAGATTCGGTTCGAAAGTTGAACCCGATCTTAGGAGCATTGTCACCAAAACACATCGCTGCTTTGCAAGAAAAGCGCTTCTGCGAGCATTTTTGAGCATTTGTCCATTAGCAAGTCATGTTGTATTTACAAGTTGAAACCCATATTTTGTCTACCAAACGCCGTCGATCTAAGGTAATGATTTCATGGGTTTCAGGGGGCCCTTGCGAGGCGCGTCTTTGGAGTCGATGCGGTACTTCAGTTTGACACCCATAGCTGCCAACTCCACATCCAGGAACTTGAGCGCACCCGGAACAACCACGACCGTCGTGTTCTCGCCCCCGACCCACTGGTTACCCTGTCCGTCCTCCCAGATTTCTCCCTCCACCTTGGCGGCGCTCTCCGCGTCGCCGGCGTCGAGGCGGGTCGCGCAGTTTCTGCACCGCACTGTCGTGACCTGCTTTTTCTTGCCCACAAACGGCGACACGGTCGGTTGAACTGAGAGGAACGAACCACAGCTTCGGCAGATCCAGGATCGTGTGTAATCGGAGCAGTTGAGCAGACGATCCTGCAGCAAGAAGGCTGTACCGTGAGCTAGCAGCGCGTCACGCTCCATCTCTCCTACACGAATACCACCTCCACGCTTTCTACCCTTGATGGGCTGTCCGGTTGTCGGCACGACTGGTCCCGTCGTTCGTACTTGATACTTGTCGTTGACCATGTGACGCAAACGCTGGTAGTAGACAACACCAACATAGATGTCAGCGGCCAGTTCCTCCCCAGTGATACCGGAGTACATAGGTTCGTTGCCATGGTAATTGTACCCGGCCTTCATCAGCTGATGGCCAAAGTAGTCACCGGCGGTGTTCTCCTCGTTGAATTTGAAGGGCGTGCAATCTTGTGCCAATCCGTGGAGAGCACCCGCTTTTCCAGCAAGTGACTCGACGAACATGCCGATTGTCATACGAGAGGGGAAAGCGTGCGGGTTGATGATGATGTCGGGCTGAATACCTGACTCAGAGAAAGGCATGTCGACGGCGGGCCACTTCTGGGAAGCGACACCCTTCTGTCCGTGACGAGAAGAGAACTTGTCGCCGATGACTGGGGATCGAGGAACTCTGAGCTTGATGGAAATCGTCTGCGCGGGCTCATTACCCGACTCGCTACCGAGCACACGTACTTCCTCGACAAAGGCAGTCTCAGACTCCTTGTACTTTTCATAGTGTGTCTGTCCGTCCAGGTTGATCAGCTTGCCACTGTAATCTGCTGACACCGTGTGCCATGCGCAGAGCACATCTCCCTCCTGAACCATCCGACCAACGTAGGGTAATCCGTCCTCGTCGAGCAAGCCACGGTAGTATCCCTTGACAAAACCGCCGGGGGCGAAACCGAAGAGCTTGGAGATGTTCTTGACAGCTCTAGTTCTCGACTCATCCTTTAGCGTGACCTTCTTCGTCTTGTAAATAGTGCCGTGTCCGAATCCTCTTTCGTGTGCCGACTTGTTCAGAATCATAGCGTCGTCCATGTCGTAGCCAGTGTATGAGATGACCGCCACAACAGCATTGAAGCCATTAGGGAAGTTATCAAACCCATAAGCATTGTGTAAAGGCGATCGTACGACAGGCGTCTGGCCGCTCTGTATCCTGTACATCTTGTTGTCTGTTCGGTGCCGAAGAGCCGTCGCTGGTGTTCCCATGGTTTGCTTACCCATCTGACATTGGTACATGTTTCTGGGAGACTGATTAAAATCCGAGAAAGGCGTCATGTTGGCAAGAATGGAGAGCATATTGGTTGGGGTGACCTCCACGTGCGTCGACTCGCCCGATACGATCTCGTTTTCAACAACGGCGATGGACATGTAGGGCTGCTCATAAGGCCCGACGAAATCCACTTTGTCAAGGGGAAGATACTTCACAGGTCTGATCATACGCGCAGGCGCAGAAGACAAGTAGATACCCGGGTAGGAGCCGCCGTTTGAAGGGGGGACGTATCCAATCTCCAGTTGCAGAGGGACACCGTGAGTACCTTCAACCTTCCAGAACCGGAGAGTGTCTGCGATTCTTAGAGATTCGCGAGGTGTGCAGAAGCCAATGATTCTGCCATCAAGCATTATGACAACACTTTCATCTGTAGCCGCAGAAGACGTTTCTACAGCTCCCAACTCCGCAACAAGGCCGGGGATCTTGGATGCATCGACAGATTCGGTCATGATCTTACACTTGTGAGCCAGATGATTGAGCAAACCGCAAGGCGAACCATCAGGAGTATGTACGGGGCACAGGAAGCCCCAAGACTCGGGCAACAGCTTTCGGACCGTCGTTGTCTTCAGTTCGGCGAAGAAGGCGCCTCTATGGATCATTCGGAAGTGACTGATGAAACGAAGGAAGTTGAGCTTTTCCGCAACGACAGTGAAACCGGCCGTTTGTTGCAAGTCAAGACCGGAGGGACTGGTCAAGTTACCTGTGGAAAGGAAGTATTCCAAGCCGTTTCCAAGGTTCTCGTTGGCATGTCTGAAAATATTGGCAGGGAATTCCTTTGCGAAGTCCTGTGATGTGAAGGGGGTGGCCGGGTGCTTTCTGGTCCACTCGCGCAGAGATAACCGGACAGCGGTCGTCAGAAACTCCTCAAGGCGCTCCTTCACAATCATGCCATACAGGAAGCCACCAAGCAGAACCTCCTGGTTTTGGACGGCATCAGGATTATCGACAGAGCAGTCGCCTGCCACGAGGGCATACAGCTTTCTGATCATGAACAGAAGCATTCTGAATTTGTCGTTGTCCTCCTTCTCGGTAACGTTGATGTTACCAAGGTGAACAAGAACAACCTTGCGCAAGAACTCGGTGCCCACATCGTAGTTGGACATGGTATCTGGCACACCCATCACCACCCGGAACTTCTCTCCAAGGTAGGCTCTCGTCTCGGTCTTGCTATAGAGACTGTAGGATTTGTAGGTTCGGAGGAGCAGCTCGACACGATCGGTCAAGAAACTGTTCTTGGCCGACTTGGTGTTGGACAGGCCGATCAGCCCTTCGAAAATATCTCGGTCGTTCGTGTCGACGAGAGCCTTGAGAATCATCATAACCGGTACGAGGTACTCGTTCTTCTTCCAGGAAAAGCGGAACGTGATGTTGCCATCGTTCAAGTAGTGCAAAACGTTGGTCTGAGATGTCTCATCGGGTCTGACCGATCGGACGATGATGCCGTACGGAGTGTAGCCTTGGCCTCGGTTTTGGAAACTCGGTCGGTTGATCGCCATGGGAAAATTCCTTCGGTTGACTTGCAACAGTCGGATGATCTTCTCGATACCGTTGACAATAAAGTAACCGCCCAATTCTTCGGATTCCTCCTTCCTCTGTACCAATTGGGCTGGCGAGTTGCCCTCCAAATGACATCTGTTGGACTGCCGATACCTCATCAGCATCGCGCCGACGGTCCTGCGATGGGTGAACAGGAGTGCTTACCTTGACCATGATAGGCACTTGCCCAAGCTCGCGCACGAATTCTTTGGGATCGCCGCCGTTAATCCTGTACTCGAAGGTGGCTGATAGCCTGCCTCGGTACGTGGCATGACGCTCTCTGCATTCGGATGGCAGAATTTCACGATTCCTCGCGAACTTGTTAGAGGGGGGAAGCTGCGACTTCTGCAGCGCCACCCCTTTGATCCGTATGGACAGGCGATTCTTGCCTTCGAGACCAGCCCTGTCGTCACCATCGAGGTAGGTCTTTGTGCCGATATCCTCTATGCCTCGAGCGAGGAGGTTCTTGCCGTCATTCGTGAACAAGGCATTGAAAGAGTCAATGTGAGGGCTTACGGCCTCTTGCAGGGCGGGATAAGCCGTGTGATCCTTTGGGGGGTTGCGGAAGAGGTTCTCGCGACGGACGGTGTTGTACTGGTGATCCCACTCGGTGCTGGTTGCTGAGGGCGCCATATTCGCTCTCTCGCTCGCTTGCCTGCGACTGAAATCATTAGTTTGAGGCCGTTCTTTGACCCCTCTTGCGTGGGAAATGATTGCTGTCTTACGAGGGGTTATGTCATGTGGATGTAACAATTGTCAAGAACCGGTGTCTCTGAGCAAGACGAAAAATAACGGAGACGAGGAGGGTATGCAAACGAACCTCTTCCAGCGCCGAGTTTCTGGATCGCAGAGGGCAAAATGCGACGGCCGGGTCCTCGGTGAAAACAAAAAATAATTATGGAGATTGAAGCGGAAAAAATTGCATCGTCCAATCATAGCGTGCCTTCGCCGAAAATGCAGGCCGTTATCCTAGACAGTGTGAAGACGGTGCGTTATCTGAGATGCGGGGCCCTGAACTTGAGGCGCCCGTAGACGGAACCCCACTGTTGCGGGATTGTGCACCCGGTACCGAGATGCTCTCGGATTTCCCGTCCCCAGTGGTATCCGGTGTCCACAGAGGCCGGCCCAATCCCGTCCGTCTGTTGCCACATTTGACGACCTAGGCGTTTCTTGATTTTGTGTTCCGTCAGGGTCTCAGAAGACGGACTAATCAGCCGTGTGAACAGAATATTGCGCGTCCTGCAGCGTTCTTGATTGTGCCACCGATGGTTCGTTACCTCCAATCTGTCACGAAGCTTCGATCAGACCTGACTGGCCACTGTTGGTTACTCAACCTGATATGAACCTGACAGCTGGGAATGGACGGCTGAACCGGACGTGTCAATGCTTGGTGGCTGTCATCGCCCGGGTTCGCTGACGGAGCTCTGCGCTATTCGTCTGATGATCGAGACGATACATTTGATGAGTGGCAGCGCCACGGCATCCATGAACTAGACTGGATATGCCGGGTCGAATCAGCACGGGAAGTCCTGACATTGCCGGTAATCAAGTCTTTCAGCGGGATGTATTTCCAGCCCAATTGGTAGTCCGTCAGGCAGAGTAAGCAACTTACCCAAGGTGCCATGAGTAACCTACCTGGGGTGTGAAAGCTATCCGCGCTAAGCGGGAAGCGTTGCGGAAAGGTGAGGTAAGGTGAGGTAAGGTCAAATCAGGTCAGGCCTTTGTGCGTAAAGTGGTCATGCCGCCCTCCCGGGCACCGTTGGTTCTCACCAATGCTGGCGTTGGATGGGTACCCTCCCCGTTGAATCTAGATTCCTGGAGTCTCCCAGAGAAGCAACTAGTAAAGGGCGACTCCTGATTAGCACCTCAGAAATTACAGCGAGCAGTTGGCGACTTGCAGCCCAATCTGCACTAACTGGGGCCTGATTAACCAAGACCAGGCGCTGACCCGAGGCATATCCATCTTAAGTTGCGTGAGATGCCGTGCCTCCTCTGCAGTCCGCACTCCGCACCCGCCATGAGATGATGGCAGGGTGATGCCCGGGGGTGCATAACACATGCTGCCGCCCTTGTCTTTTGGCCTGAGCCTGCCTCACCTGCCAATGGCACCAGGCCCCAGTCTCCTCCAACATTCGGTCGAGGTTCCGCATCCCCAACTGCTTCACATCTACCTACCTAAGCGTGGCAAGGTAATGGGCCAGTATCATCACCTGCAGCCTGGCCGATAATTCCACTAATCCTTGGGAGGGAAACTCTGAGGTGTAGACTATTCCCCCCCCCCCCCCCCGCCCCCCGCGGGGACCGGACNGGGCCACTAACCCACACACCGCCCCGTGCCCAAAATCCCCCCCCCCCCGTGGCGGGGAACTCCTGTGTGTTTGCCTATTCCCCCCCCCCCCCTGGTCCTTTAGCAGGTTCGTTCCGGTAATGACCAGATGCCGCAGCTCGACATGGAAGCACTGCCAGGCATTTTCGTAAATATCTTGGATCTGTATATGCCCTGGTGGCTTCTTCTCACCTACATGTTCATTCTTCTCTTCGTCCTTTTCACGACAGCGGGCGAGGAAGAAGCGCGAGAGATAGAGGCAGCAGTGGCAAAAGAGATTTTAAGTGCAGTGTCGCAACTTGGGCGTAAGACTTAGTTAGTACTTTAGCCCAGCTCTAGAAGGTACATCTTGAGGAATGGTTCCCTCCATGGATGTTATTGGGCTGTATGCGGTTTTTGTCACCCCCGTGTCTGCCTGCCTGGAACCAACCCAGCCTGCCTTGCGACTTGCCTGACCATGCGCTACCTTACCTACCCTATTGTTGCTAAATACTCTCTGCATCCTGCTTTCCCAGCGGATTCGATGCCTCGCTTTCTGCTCCTCCACCCTGGTCCGCCTTTGCTCCAGCTCGCGCCATCGAAATAACCATCTGGCCGCTCCGTACCTATTGCTTCTTCATTCGCTCGCAGAGCAGGCCTGGACGTTCATTCCTGGTGAACCTCCGAGAAGCAAGGAAGCCGCCAACAAACGCCTTTGTCGGCGAGCCGCCCGCTACTCGCCTCTCATCACAGTCACAACGTCATCAGACGCCCAACGCCGATGACCATTCTCCCCTCTCCATCGCACCGTCCTGCCTCACCAAGCCAGCCCTTGCGGTTTGCTTGACGGTATTGACAGACAGATCTGAACTTCTGCCGCCTGCAACAATCTAGGTCCACACGCTGCAGGTCCTCCCCCTCACTCTCTTCTCACCTTCCCCTTCTCGACATATCTTTCTTCATCGGGAGATTATCTGATTACCATCTATCTATCCACCCGCAAACACGACCACCTGAGCAACCTCACCCTTGCACACCTTACCTCATCCTTAGGTCGACTGAACAACTTCCGAGGTGGAAAGCCAGTCTTCGCATCCCACCACCGCATCTCTTCGGGGTTCCCCCATTGAAAGTCTGCATGCCTTGGCCTTGTACCGCAGGTCGAATCGCTGCAACTCGTCAACTTTAGCCGGCTAGAAGCCTCTCGACCCCCAATATCGGGCATTGGCAACCTCTATACGTCTGGGCTATCGCGCCTCGTCACCATCTCTCTGTGCCTAGGTAACTGAAAGCCCGTCGGATTACAAGCACCACATTGAATACAGCCATCAGTTACATCCCATTCATTTGGTCTTGGCACCCGGTAGCATACCAGCGAGCTCTCACTTTGGGCCACCCAGCGAGCAACGAGCACCCAAAAGTCATTCACGTTTGCCAAAGGGATCCGTCGCAGGCAAACTGAGCGCCGTGGTATGTAATAACTGCATCATAAGCTGGTCCTTGTCGAAAGTCCCTTCCGCCGCCGCCCGCCGCCGCCACAGCTCACATCTCATCCCTGCTACCGCTGCTGCTGCTGTCGTCAGTAGATTGACTTCCATGCCGCTGCCGCACATAGCATATTGTAAAGGCGCTCACACCCGAACTCAGGTGCACTCGATCGACATATAATTACCCATCACCCGTCCCTGATTGCGGCCCTTCCTCGCGGCTACCGTTGGCAGATCCACACGATCCGGTAGAAGCAAACGAATGAAACCCCAGTCGTTGATCTAGTAACCGCTGCAGACCCTGTCAACGCGGTTATTCCGAGTCGCCTTTCTTCCCCAACCGCCAATTCCTGCGACTCCAAATCCGGCACTGTTCATTCTACAGCTTGTGCCCCTCCACTCCCCTCCCAACCCCGGTCCCCTCCCAACTCCAAGCTCAAGCCTCATCCAGGGCACTCAGTCACTTCCACGACCGATCATCCCTCACCATCCCGTCTTTTCCTGGTGGGGACCTACTAATTACACCTCACAGGCTGTACGAGGTACCTCCCCCGGCCCCAGAGGACAGGCCAGGACAGGCCAGGCCAAGCGTCACCTGCACTCTTCTTTTCTGGTTCCCGCCCGCCGCCTGCACCGCACTTGCATCTGCGCCGCAACTTGCTCTCAGTTACAGTGTCGTCGCCCGCCAACGAGAAAGAGCGACGCCCATCGAGCCTCTCTGTCTCTCCCGCCCCCATCATCGCACAGAGCAGAGGAGCAACCTGCGACGCCATCTTTCTCGTCGATGCCAGCAATACTGGACTTGCGGCATTTGGTCGGCTACCACGGGTCATACGAGACATTTTTATTCCCAATTTCTAAAGGCGTCTGAGCGCATCGAATACTTAAGCATACAAACCACAACTCCGCACCCGATCGCTCTCCCTCTCTTTTTCTCACCGTATCGACGTCTCTCTCTCGAACGAAACAACGACCGCGTAACGCCGCCGAACTTTCTCCGTTGCGCAACCTCTATTGCCGTCGCGCTATATCCGGATACAAGACCAGCACCTGTTGGCGACTCCTCTTTTGGCTACATACGCATACCACACTTCCCTCCTTCACGCCAGCGCATCGCGCTCATCATCCACTACCATGGCGGGGCTTTTCCGGAAGGTATACGACTGGCTGTTAAGGACGTTCTGGTGAGTGCACTTTGTTTGCCGCGATGAGCAGCGGGGTGATTTCCAGCGATGGACGCACGCTCTGACCTTACCCCGCCGCGCCCACTCTGCCCTTGCCCTCGATTGTTGGTGATTGTTCCTTGAGCTTGAGCTGACTTGCGACGACAGGGCGACAGAGATGGATGTGACGATGATCGGACTTCAAAATGCGGGTAAAACGTCTCTGCTCCGCGTCCTTGCAGTAAGTGACCCTTTGCCTATAGCTGCCATTATTTCTACGGCACCACACCCGTCCGCATGCTGACATTGACACTTGTAGGGCGGCGAGTTCACGATCGAGTAAGCGAACTCCGTTTTCTTCTCCATGCCTCGAAATGACTATCGTGCCGACTCTGGTGTGGTTGGTCTCGGCTAGCAGCAGCCTCGGCTAATTGAAATCTCGTGTAGCTCGATCCCGACGGTCGGATTCAACATGAAGCGGGTGCAACGAGGACACGTTACACTGAAGTGTTGGGATATTGGTGGCCAGCCCCGGTTTCGAACGATGTGGGAGAGATACTGCCGTGGCGTCAACGCTATCGTCTTCATCGTCGACATCGCCGATATGGATTTGCTGCAGCAAGCCCGCGAGGAGCTCCATGCTCTCATGGGCCAAGCTTCCCTGAGAGAAATCCCACTCCTTGTGTTAGGAAACAAATCGGACCTTCCGCAGAAGTTATCGGTGGACGAGCTGATTGATGCGCTTGACCTCAAGTCCATAGGCCACCGCGAGGTCTGCTGCTACGGCATCAGCGCCAAGGAGGAGACCAACTTGGATGCTGTGCTGCAGTGGCTCATGAAGTGGGCGAACAGATGAAGCGTAATACTCTCGCGCGTTGGGGGTCTCGATCCGCCCCATCTCGAAGTTGTTCTACCTGCCGCTCTCGCTCGATCGCACACCACTTGAGGATTGTGAGTCAGTGGGTTCGAGCGGGTAAGATGAGGGCTGGAAACGGGATGGAGAGGACTCGGCATGGCATTTGGTGTCGAGACATTGTTGTGTCAAACTTGTTCTCCAAATCATGGGTCTTCTGACGTTATCGGTTGGTCTGTGACGCCATCAGTAGCACTAAGCTTGCCAGGTCCCATGACATTTTCACCATATTCCACAGTTCGGAGCGGGAGGGAAGGGGGCTGTTTTTTAGCGGTAACTTTGGACAGCATTTATGGAAGCAGGGCGCTTGCCTTTGATCTTGAAGTTAGTTGGCCAGGTGTTCCAGTTTGACGAAGGCCCTCCAGCCTAGAAGTGCTGGGACGCAGCGGCGCTTGGGCGACAAATAGCTAAGTAGAGAGGAGGAGAGTGGGGGATGATTGGGTGGCCATGACGATGCTACGAAAGTAGATAAATGAATATCATGACTGATGTACGATCGCTTGATCATGCGTGAGTCTTTATGACCTGTACGAGAGTTTTGCTGCTGCAACACAACTCTCAAGATATAATAAAAGTGAGTCGCCCCGCCGCAGAAAGCATGCGACGAGACTGAGCTACCCAGTCGAGGATGGTGCTGGTGCTGGTGCTGGTGCTGGGTGTTGTGGTGATGTCGAGAATGTCTTTGAGGGGGCTAGGCACGAGAATTGACGGCGTCTTGGCCACCCTCGGGGGGATAATCAATGCAAGGTAGTCAAGAGAGAGGTAGAAGAGAAAGGAGAAAACCAAGGTAAAGAAGGATGGAGGTGAGATGTCTTTGGGGAAGGAATGAAGGGAGGGGTAGAGGAAAGGATATCAAGTTTCGTCGGACTCTTTTCCTCTTGTTCAGTACACACTCTCTCTCTTATTGTCATTCCTTTCTGGAGCTGCGCAGCACACAGACCAGAACTGCCAGCGCATCGCGCATCAATGCATCGGTTTCCATCTGCTGCTGGCGAGGCCTGATTGGACCGCCAACCGACGCTTCCGCACCCCTTTGCTGCAGGGCCCATGGGGAAAGAGAGGGGGGGTTGGGCCATTGCCCTGCGTTCGTTGTCTGTTTTTTTATTTTGGGGGGGGGGGGGGGGGTTCGTGTCTCTTGTGTTGTGTTTATGTCTCGGAGGTCGGAGGAGGCGAAGAAGGGGGGAGTGTGAAATTTAAGAGAGAGAAAGGCTGGTAAAGGGGAAACTGGTCTGGGGGAGACAGGGCCAAAGAGGAAAAATGTGCTTCATCATTTGGGAAAAATCCCCCTCCCGCGGCCCCATTGAATGGGCGATGCCACGATGTGTTAGCCAGGGATGGCCTGGTGATGCTTAGGACGCTAGAGGTGTCAGAGGTGCCAAGCGGACAGCTGCAAAATGCTCCTCGTCAACCCAACACTCACTGGACGGGCGACTGGGAGAGCCAACTCACCCACTCTACACAGTGCCTCACCTTACACACCTCAAGGTAAGGCAGATGCGGATAACATGCATTTCACTCAGCTTACCTTACCGCCATGTCTCACAATCTCACAGTGAGTGTATGGTATCCGGGGTGCTATCATCACGTAAGATAGACGTGGAAAGTGGACCTTGCGTGTCCACTCAAATATTTCATCACACACGCACTCGTTCGATGTCATCCATATAGCCACAATCACGTCCGTTGCTAGAGAAAACGTCCCCATTAACCAACTGGAATGAAGGTGATTTCTAGAGTATCTGATGCTTTTCGTGTATGAAGGAATTGCCAGGCAAGGCAATCTCCATTCCTGCCAGGCAAGGCAATCTCCTTCATGGCCTCGTCATCCCCGCCTCCTCTAAAAAAGAAGTAAATACGACTCCTCCATGTAAACCCGACCAATAACTCCTTGCTAATGTGTCCATTTAAATAAAACAGAAAACAACAACCAGATCCAAAGAAAGCCAGTACAATCATGGGTAGTCAGTAAAACCCGCTGAGGGCCCATCCCGATTCACCATATACCCAAATCTTTCCTGCTCGTCCAACAGGATGCTCGGCATGTCTGTATTATTATCCAGGCGCACGAACTGATCAACGGCACGGCCCCATAGGTCCTTTCCGTTCCTGATGGCGTCCGCTATGCGATCCTTGTTTCGAAACCTTTCGCCATTCATCCACTCGTGAGAGAAGGACGACATCTTGGTAAGGAACTCGTCGACGGTGGCGAAGCAGCTGGAGCAGTGCCAGCAGGCGTTTGCGAGGTTCGATTTCTCGAGATCGTACAGAGGCTTGAAACCCCCATCTCCCATTCGGAGGTTCGCCGGCAGGAGTGTGCGTGAGCCCTGGTAGTAGGTGGCTTGCGGGTGTTCCCACTCAGGCCCCGTGTGTAGGAACTGGAAGCTGTAATAGTAAAACCGGCTGCGCAAGGTGAGACGACGGGGAAATTGGCACGTTCGCAGGACCAGGAGTGTTTCTGGTCGGGCAATCTCGTCAACATCGGCGACGAGAATGACGTCTCCGTACACTGGGGCCTGCTTGCCTACGAGTCTGGGTAGAACTTGGGTGTACATGGCGTTGCGCTGCAAGTCTTCGTAGTCCCAGGATCTCCTAGGGTTAAAGGTCGACGGAAATTCGAGCTCGTGATAAATGAGCTTGTCGTGGTAAGGCTTAAACCGATCCCAGTTCTCCTTGATAGTGAGTGGCTTGGGCTTGCCGGTGAAAGTCTTTGGGGACTCGACGATGACAAAATAGTCAACGTAGTTGTATGTAGAGTTCAAGCGAATTTCCATCCAGTCGAGCTCCGTATTGACCATGAACAGGTCGTACACCTTTCGTTGGCCAGTCTCTGATTGAGGAGTGAAGACGGGGTAACCATGGTGCTTGCAGAATCGGTCGGCGGCGTCGGAGGAGTAAAAGCCATGGTGATCGCTGTTATTGCCGAAATTCAGACCTTCTTTGGGGAGCTTGAGGGACAAGTCGAGGCTCGAAATGCGGTGATCGAATCTGTCGAGGGCTGGATGTTGGCTGATGTACAGGATGAGGCAAACGGTTACCGCCAGTATAAGCTTCAGAACAACTGGTGAGCCAACGCGCCATTGGAGTACCATGATGTAGATAGGCTAAGTGGTGAGTGGCAGGTGGGGGGGTTGGATAGGATTGAAGACGAGCTGGTCTTGAGTCGGCGAGGTGAGGCTATTTCGTTTCGCCTTTTGAAACAATAGTCGGCAAGAGAAGGTGGAACAGATACGGCAGATGCAACGTAAACTCTAGGCCGGCATTACTGGTCGGGAGCGGGAGAGAGGGTACAGTAGCAAAGAGGCAGTATGAAGAAGACGCGCTGCGCAGATCTGCTCAGATAAGAGCGTCCGGACCACAGATGGTTCGTCGACGGGAATAGCCTTGTCGCATGTTTTCAGGCCTGGAGAAGTTTGTGAACCAAGGATACCAGGGGAGAAACCAGTGAGTTTATAAAGGGGACGATTGCGTTGAGGCTCGGACGGGCTCGAGCACCTGGTGAAATCTGACCTGGCATGAGATGTCAAAGGAAGGACCTTGAGGGCAAAACGAAGGAAAGTCAAGGAAGCACACGTGCTTTATTAATGAAGGAAACGTTCTGCACTAGGTTTGAAGGTGCCTACCTGGGTTAGGCAGAAGTTCTGATTCAAGTGGCACTCCAGCTTGGCGTATTGCTGGGAAACACTAATAGCGTGATGGCGGGCGCTTCATACAAATCAAGGGAGCCCCTGAAATGGGCTGGAAGCAGATCGGCCGAATTCCATTATCTAACGTGACAGACACACGGCGGCTCCGTCTCCTCAGCTCGAGGTGTGAGTCTCCCGTGCTTTGCATTTGCAGGTAATAAGTGTCCACCTAGGACACGGTTGCGGCGTGTGCCATCTGTTGTCTGGGTGTATTTGGGGAAATGGTATATCTGGCCGACACATTGAAATACCGCCCGCCCGTCCGTCCGTCCGTCAGTCCGTCATTGACATTGACAAGGCCAGGGTTGAGTGATGTGACCAAAGCCGCTTGGGTTTTCTGTTTGGAAACGCAGAGAAGACAACTTTTTTCGCACTGCGGCAGATCAGACGATCAGGCCTGACAATGGGAATGGGCCCGGCGTGCAAAACACCTCGATGCCCTCAACCTAAGCGTTTTTTTGTTTCTTTTCTCTGGTGGGCTAATGAGCTTCTTCCAGTCCCTGGTGGAAAAGCGAGCTGCATTGCATGAACATCCATGTTTGCCTTCCTACGGGGCCACGTTCCGTAGGTAATCACCTCGGTGTAACTGGGAAAGATGGGAAGCGGGGGGCGTCCTGCTGGTTGGCGCTGCCAACAGGGGTGTAGGCCGTAGCAAGAACTCAAGAAGAAGCTATTACCAGGCCTAGTGGGGCCTAGTCACTTTTGCCGAGTTGCTCCCGAGTGAGGTGGGGGGGTCTTCCGTCTCTCGCACAGGTCAAGAAGGTGCGGAGCGCGACAAAAAATAAGGCTGGGCGTTGCTGCGCCAAGGCTCCATATTTGCGCTTCCTTTCCAGAGAAACCTCGTATGGTGCAGGATGTGCTGAGTAAAGCCCCTGCACAACTTGCGAAGCTCTATCCACCGTCGACGGCGTTGGCGGAGTTCCACCGTCAACAAACGACGAAACAGACTTCCATGATGGCTATTGCTGCCGGCTGCCTGTTGTGGATATGCTCTGCCGTTAATAAAGTATTTGGCGTTTCCAGGTCTCTGGAAGTAAACTTCCACCCACTCACCTACCCAACTTAAAGGCAACGCAGGCGTGGCAGGCCAAGGTAAAGCTTTTGTTTCAATGCCTACTTAGCAATGGAAGGTCTTCAGACCTTGGTATGTCTGAGCCGCTCACTGTCGCGCCGCCCGGGTTTCAAGTTCCAGCAATGCTATCAAGGGCCAAGCCCAACGGGCCCCAGCTCTGGAGCTTGCACGATCCAAGCACCTGCTGGCCTGAAACAATTTCATTCTTCACCTCTGGAAAAGTTGAGATGTCAAGGTGCCTAGGTGGTGTGGTCCTGGGACATGTGAGCACCTACGTAGTATACATTGTAAGGTACCTTACCATACCTTGGCATCTGTGGAGGTCTTGATAAGATAAGCAGATGCGTCCCACCTAAGGTAAGGTAAGGTGCCTAACTACGTAGGTTGAAGGGGCGTTGGCGGCACGTCTATTCCGTGTCAATAGAGGCAGCAAACAGCTAGATTCTCACATGAATGGCCACCGCTGAGGTAACTCGTGAGAAACAGTATTAATACGAGACTCTAATTAGCTTTGTGGTCCAACTTTGCTGTCGAGCTATCTCGCGACGTTGAAAAAATCCTATCCACTCACCGGGGGTGCTCCACTCTATGACAACTGTTGCTGGTCACTCCACATCAACCCCGACTCCGACCCCGGACTTGTCTGGTAGCGTATGGAGAGACTGGTCGGATACGTTGCACAAGAAAGCATCTCGTCTCAGCTAACAAGATGAACACGGTCAGGATAATGAGTAAGTTGAAAGCCGCTTAGGGAGCTCCTTCGTGTTGCCAAACCTGCTCGCTGCCCCCTGCCAAGCACCATGAATCACTCAACCTTGAGCATCCCATCTTCAACTCTCGAAGCAAAATCGGAACACTAATCGCGCACCCGCAGTTCCCTTCGCCATACGCGCGCCCTTGTCAAGACGACCTTGTACCTGGCCAACCCCGCAGCTACCAACGACGTTCAGCGTCTTCACCCGCCACATACTTCCAAGCCTCGCATCATCCATCCACACATCGTCACCCCGACCACTTTCAGGAGCAATGTCCCCAGCCGCTATCAGCAACACGAGCAATGGTACTGCCCACGCCCCTAAGCAGAATGCTTGGGTTGGTCATCTCGGTGCTGCGGGGTTCGACCTGAGAAGTAAGTAGGGCATCAGTTTTTGTTCAAAGTGCCGAGAGTGACAGTGATGATCAGGCGATACCATGACCACTCCGACGGCTTCGATGCTCGCTGCCATTCAAACTTGCAGCTTGCTAGATGACGTCTTCGTAGAGGACCCCACAACCATCGAACTCGAGTCTCATGTCGCTGCTCTTGCTGGCAAGGAGTCCGCTCTCTTGGTTCTTTCCGGGACCATGGGTAATCAAGTGGCCCTTCGGGCCCTCCTCACGCAACCTCCGTACAGTGTATTGAGCGACCACCGCGCTCACATTATCAAGTACGAGGCTGGCGGGTTCGTGCATCCCCCTCAGCTCTTGTACTACGTGAGATTTACTGATTGGTGGTCGTCAGCGTTGCTTCGCTTTGTGGCGCCATGCTACAGCCCGTGGTACCGCGCAATGGAGCCTACCTGACAAAAGAGGACATTGAGGCCCATGCTGCTCTTGATGATGATGTTCATACCTGTCCTACCAGGGTCATCAGCTTGGAAAACACCCTCGGCGGCGTGGTTACCCCCTTGGCCGAGGTCAAAAGGATAGCCGAATTTGCACGCGAGAATAATATTAAGCTACATTGCGATGGTGCCAGAATGTGGGAGGCCGTTGCCTCCGGGGCCGGTAGTCTCTCCGACTACTGTTCACTATTCGACACAGTCAGCTTGTGCTTCTCAAAGGGCCTTGGTGCCCCGATTGGAAGCATCGTTGTGGGCGACGCAGCGCACATCAAGCATGCCCGCTGGGTGCGTAAGTCTATTGGTGGTGGTCTCCGACAATCCGGGCTGGTGGCGGCTCCTGCCAGGGTTGCCGTTGACGAGACGTTTGGAAAGGGGCCCAACGGCGAAGATGGTCTTCTGAAATCGTCCCATGAGACTGCAATGAAGATCGGGGAACTCTGGACCAGTCTAGGCGGCAAGCTTACTCTTCCAGTTGAAACAAACATGTGCTGGCTTGATTTAGATGCTGCAGGGTGCAGCACGAAGACTTTCATCGCTTTGGGAGACGAGGTGGGATTGAAACTCATCGGCAATAGGCTGGTCATCCATTATCAGATTGCTCAGAACCAGGACAAGGTTCTCCCGAGGTTAGAGCAAGTCTTCCGGCGAGCATTAGATGGTGAAAGTCAAACGACAGGAGAGAAAAAGGGACCGAAAAATATGTATCAGCCGCGGTGAGGTTGGATGTGGCTTCCTGGATTCTCTTGGACCTGATATCTGCCAGACGACGCCAAATTCAAGCAATTGTTTCATGCTTCTATCGTCAAATCATCTGAGACTCTTCCAGTCTCAATCTTACAATGGTGCCCTGGCCTTTTTCTAGCATTCCATGGAGGAAGACAGCGGACCTCCCAGAATTCGACGAAGCTCATGGAAGGCGCATGACCCCCGCTTCCTCCTCCTTGGGTCGGCCGATCAACGGGCCTCATCTTAATAAAGACAGAATAAATGCTCAGGTCCTTATATATCATGATAAAATCCAGCCATCAAAGTTGGGAATTTTGCGATTTGTACCTTAAGAATCATCGATGCTGTGCGCCAAGCTTCTCGGCGCACGTCCACCTCACATGCAGTACATGTATAAACCTTCATTTGCGCAACATCGCCGATGCTCAATTTGCAGCTTGGCCAATTATTAGCCTCTCTCGAGGCAGGTCAAACACGACATCTCCCGTTCAGGACACCCCATGAACAAAGTCACCTGGAGAGTGATCATTTACACATTTGGCCCCCCACTCCGGACCAAGTTGGCAAGAACTTCGCCAAATGCACTGAGTAGGGAGCACAATGCAACTTATCGTTGAAGAGCCATATAAATTATATGAGATTGAGTGCCTATCAGACTCTGTGTAGGACCACATCAGAGTTTTGCTCTCGCTTCTGGCCAGGCACCAAAGCTACAGAGCGAGGCAGACCCTTGAGCGGATAGGTTGATGGTATGTTGCTGACAACTTGTTTCGATGTACCTGCAGAAAGCCTCGTCCTCTGCGCGTCAGGCTTGATCGCCGACGAAAGATCAGACAATCTGGGGGGGCTTGACTAAATGAGGAAGTAAACGTGGAGCCTAGCAGACTTTGAGAATCATTTGACCGCCGCTGACATAGTCTAGACGACCATGACATGTACTCGAGAGCATCCAGACAACGGACGGAGGGATTTCCGGGGTAGTGTGGGGAAAGCTGTGTCCGGGACCACAGAGCTTCTCCGCATGGGCTGGTTCGTCTATCCAATCACAATTACCGCATGGTCTGGCAAGCACCGAACAAAGTCTTTGATACCCCGCCAAACAAGCATACTTACCGCAACTTCCAAGACAAGACTAATACCAAGTTCGCAAGATTCCACTGTTGTCCTTACTGACGTCACAATACTTCTCGGTCTAAGTGGGATGACATAGTGTACGGTTCTCGTCACCCACACGTTCGGCCTACCCTTGCAGTAGCACGCCTAGCCTGCTGGCACATCATGCCCATGGACGCTTCTGGAGCCAGAAGTTTCTCTCAGAGCTGGGGAATCACTGAGAAAGCTAGGAGGAAATAACAAGTGGTCAATCGGTTTTACGACGCTCGTACAGCGGCTCCACCACGGCTCTCCCAAGTATTGGATCATGCGGGGAAAGCTGCCCGTCTGCAGGCAGAACCGGCATAGCCAGCCAGTAAGCTTCATTCCTGTGTCTCTGCCTTGTTCGGCATGACAACGTCTTGTCTCGATTCGTTAAGTTGCGTGTTGTGGCGTCCAACGTGTCGTCTGCCATGCCGCGAGCCCAGACGCCTGCGATGGCGCAGAATTGAATCGGACCCGGCAGAATCCAAGCCCAACGGCACCGTGCAACGGTAACTTACTACTCGGTCGCCCACACAAACCGGCAGAAAATGCAGTAGTTTCCAATCTTGTTTGGTCATAATGTCTTAACACTCTGCGAAAGCCTGTGTACATTTGGGTTTGTGGCCCCCTGCTGCCGGCCCGGGTCTCCCCTTGCCTTTCTATACCTGCCTACCTCGGGCGACCAGCGATCCCTCCCAGCGACGAACCTGTCCAAGCTTCCCCTTTCAAGTAAAGCTCTGCAGCTGATCCTGGTAGCTCCCCATGTACTATAACGTGATTCCCTTTATGTCCATTTAAACCTGGTCGTGGGCCTCTTCATTCGAACAGCCTCATCCGACATGAATGGCTTTTCTGCGTCCCTGGCGTTACCAGTTTAGTAACACGACTATTGTGTACGTACGAGCTCCTCCAAGAGCTCAATTGAAGGCCATGGTCAACTTTGCACTAGCCCTCGCAGCTATAGCTGTCTTACCTCAGACAGCCCAGGCTTTATATGAGAATGGCTCCATCGTGGCTCCTTGCGACTCACCTATTTACTGCCATGGCGATATTTTGAGAGAAGTTGAGCTGGCACGTCCATTCTCAGACTCCAAGACATTCGTGGACATGTAAGTACCGATCGAGACCGCACATCACTTTCCCCAAACTCGACACGGACTCTGTACTGATACTTATCGTTCATTGAAAGGCCTGCCATCAAGTCTCTGGAAGAAATCCAAGCGGCATTCAACAACCTGTCGAAACCTCTGAGCAATAACACCGCACTCAACGATTTCCTACGCGCCAATTTTGCCGCAGCAGGTGGTGAGCTGACGGAGGTTCCCAAGGATCAATTGAAAACGGACCCGAAGTTCCTCGACAACATAAACGATACAGTGATCAAGGAATTCTCTCAGAAGGTCATTGCTATATGGCCGGACTTGACCCGCACCTACACTGGCTCAGCAAGCAATTGCACCACATGTCCGAACAGCTTCATTCCAGTTAATCATACCTTTGTCGTCGCCGGAGGCCGGTTCCGTGAGCCTTATTATTGGGACTCTTTCTGTAAGAAATTACTCAATAGCTCCGCGTTCAGATGGCGATTATTCGGCTGACCTGTAGCGTTGTGTAGGGATTCTCGAGGGCCTCTTGCGCACAGGCGGCGCCTTCACTGAAATTTCCAAGAACGTCATTGAAAACTTTTTGGACCTTGTGGACAAACTCGGTTTTGTACCCAATGGTGCTCGGATTTACTATCTCAACCGTTCGCAGCCGCCATTGCTGGCGCAAATGGTGCGCCTCTATGTCGAGTATACGAACGACCGGAGCATTCTGGGACGCGCCATTCCTCTCCTCATCAAGGAGCATGAGTTCTGGATGACCAACAGAACTGTTGAAGTAAATAGAAATGGGACTACATACAGTCTGAATCAGTCAGTGATATCTTCAAGGTACCCAAATTTTTGGCATGGAAGTAACGTTATGACTTCAGGTACAACGTCACCAACACGCAGCCAAGACCTGAATCTTACCGAGAAGACTACGTCACTGCTTCGAACGCCTCATACTACTCGACCAGCGGAATCATTTACCCCGAGGTCGAGAAGTTGAACGACACTGAAAAGGCTCGCTTGTATGCCAATTTGGCGTCCGGTGCTGAGAGTGGCTGGGATTACACCTCACGATGGCTTTCTCGACCTGGAGATGCAGCGAGAGACGTATACTTTCCTCTAAGGTCTCTTAATGTTCTAGAAACTGTCCCAGTAGAGCTGAATTCCATCTTGTACTGGAATGAAATGACCATCGCTGCTCTCCTCAACTCCACACAAAACGGCACTGGGGCGTTAACTTGGACTGAGCTCGCCGTCAAACGAAGTCAAGCAATGTACGATTTGATGTGGAATTCCACCTTGTCAAGCTATTTTGACTATAATGTGAGCTCGGGAGCTCAGAATATCTACATTCCTAGAGACGACGATGCTACCGAAGTTGAGACGAACACTGCCGGATCACAACAACAAGTCCTCTTTTCAGTTTCTCAATTCTACCCGTTCTGGACAGGGGCAGCACCTTCTCACCTCAAGAATAATCCTTACGCGGTCAAGCAAGCATACCAGCGTGTGGAGAAGTACTTGGACAACAAGAAGGGCGGCATCCCGGCCACAAATCTCAAGACAGGTCAGCAATGGGATCAGCCAAATGTCTGGCCGCCATTGATGCACGTCCTCATGGAAGGTCTCCGTAAGACGCCTGCTACTTTTGGAGAATCAGATCCGGCCTGGCGTGACGTCCAAAATCTTGCGCTCCGCCTCGGACAGCGGTACTTGGACTCTACCTTCTGCACATGGTATGCTACGGGGGGTTCAACTAGCGAGACTCCCCAGCTGCAGGGCTTGACTGCCCAGAGTGTCGGCACCATGTTTGAGAAGTACGGCGATAATTCGACCAACGTCGCAGGTGGCGGTGGAGAATACGAAGTAGTTGAAGGATTCGGCTGGACAAATGGCGTTCTACTCTGGGCTGTTGATGTGTTCGGAAATGGCTTGAAGAGGCCCGACTGCGGCAACATCACCGCAGCCAACGTTCATCCCGCAAAGAGAAGCCTATCTCAACGTGCGGTAGAGTTAGATGGCTACGATGCTGCCTGGATCAAAAAGTTTGGCAGGCGCGCTGAGGAGGCCGCGAGGAGGTTGTAGAGCCAAGAAGGGGTGGCCGGCGACTTTCATCCTTATATTACCTTATTGTATCGTGATAAGCTTGAAGCTGTCCACACGTGGATGCTGGTCTAAGTAGCATACTACCTTAGGTAGGTGATCATGGCAACATAATATGTTCCGGCCGTTTACGCGGACTCCTTGGTTGGAATATTGGTCAAAGTACCGCACAGTTCCAGTGGTGGTGCTGTCCCAGATTCGCGATCTGGGTATGGTCTGTGCGCCACCTACCTAGATTAATGACGGTTCGAACGAATCGGGAGCTGCCTGAGGTGCTACCAGCTGCCGCCACGGGCATATTTCAAGCCGAGAGCACCGGCCAAGGCCATTTTTTGAGCTCCGCTAGACGAATCGTGACGTTGAATACTGATCTGACAAAGCTCCACCATCAGCTTCAACCTGAAGCTACAGCAACCCGCGCTCAATCGCCCGAAGAACAACACGGATCGAAGCTTCCCCGTCTGAGCACATTCAATAATCGATAGACGCTCCGAAACCCGATCTGATCATGTCTGGAGGAAGAAATCCCATGGAGGAGGCCTACGAGCGCCTGAGGGCTGTCGCTCAGCAGCAGCAGAAGCGCGGCGGCTTCGGCGGCGGCGGCATGCCCGGCGGTCCTCGCGGTGCAGGCATGGGACTTGCCGGTCTGGTTCTTCTCGGTGGTGCAGCGATTCTGGCCCAAAATGCGCTGTTCAACGTCGATGGTGGTCACAGAGCGATCAAATACCGGAGGACAACGGGTGTGAGCAAGGAGATTTACAGCGAAGGTAGGCAGCGCCCCTCCATGCCATTTGAGGGGGCATCTTTTCTGTTGGTATTGGCAGACGCAACGAGCTGATATGTTTTCGTCTCTCAGGAACCCACTTGATCATCCCCTGGTTTGAGACTCCCGTCACCTACGATGTTCGCGCGAAGCCCAGAAATGTCGCCTCTCTCACTGGAACCAAGGACTTACAGATGGTCAACATCACCTGCCGTGTCCTTTCCAGGCCTGATATCAAGGCCCTGCCTCAGATTTACCGCACACTCGGTACCGATTACGACGAGAGAGTGCTGCCATCCATCGTCAACGAGGTTCTCAAGAGTGTCGTCGCTCAGTTCAACGCTTCCCAGCTCATTACCCAGAGAGAGATGGTCGCCAAGTTGGTTCGCGAGAATCTCTCCCGCCGTGCCGCGCGGTTCAACATTCTCCTAGACGATGTGTCCCTGACGGTGTGTATATGGCCCCCTTGTTAGTTTCCCACGACTCCATGCTGATAATACGCCGTAGCACCTTGCCTTTTCTCCGGAGTTCACGGCCGCCGTTGAGGCGAAACAGGTTGCTCAGCAAGAAGCTCAGCGCGCGGCATTCGTCGTCGACAAGGCTCGTCAGGAGAAGCAGGCCATGGTTGTCAAGGCACAGGGTGAGGCTCGCTCTGCTGAGCTGATTGGAGATGCCATCAAGAAGAGCAAGGCCTACGTCGAGCTGAAGAAGATTGAGAATGCCCGTGCCATTGCTCAACAGCTGCAGGAAGCTGGCAGCAAGAACAGGTTGTTGCTGGACTCTGAGGGCCTGGGCCTGAACGTGTTTGACGATAGCGACAAGAAATAAGGCGCTGGCATTTGGGCGCGAAACCTCCACACTGTACTCCTATAACCTCAAAATCTGGCAAGGACTTGTATAATAATGAAAAACGCCTCTGAGAGCTTCGGAAACAATTCATCTGCAAACGCATGAGGCTCGAGAGGATTGGTGGACAGTCCATCCGTGCACAACAAACAGAACCCACGCAGTGATTCTGATACAGATGAAAAGAAAAGTCCCTACTAATTGCTGCCTCATCATAACTCGACCTCTTTGCGCTGCCCGGTTGTAGTTCAAGGTGCTAAGCTTCCTACACGAAGTATATATATATCACTTGAGACGACGTGGATCCATGATGCCTGCGGCACCTGTCTGCAATTTACGCAGTGAGGTAAGGCGTGCCGGGGTGGGTCCAGGCGTCTCAAGGCCCCCCGCCCCTGCTCGGCTTAGGTACAGAAAGGCCCCTCCCCCACCACGACTTCTTGCCTGCTGCGTAGGTACTGCTGCGAACAGCTCAGGGTAATCGTGCAACCGTCATAACTTGAACCAACAAATTGCACGACCCCGCCAAGACGAATAGCAACAACCCGCTACCTCGCCTCCTCTACCTCTCGTCAAACCAAACCCAAGCCTACATACCGCTATCACGACCTCTCGCACGCCACAATGTTGATCAAGTACGCACACCCGTCTCCTCCTAAACCTCTAGAGGCGTTGATCCGTCTCTACCCAGCGCTGTATCGGCTCGAACGATTGCTTACACCACCAGGGTGCGAACGCTCACCGGCAAGGAGATCGAGTTGGACATCGAGAACGAGTACAAGGCGCGTGGTTTCCCGACTTTTCGTCCACCAAACACACGAGATAGAGAGAATATGACGCTGACCCCTCCGCAAAACAGGTCGCGCAAATAAAGGAGAAGGTAGAGGAGAAGGAAGGAATCCCGCCTGTCCAGCAAAGACTTATCTACGGCGGAAAACAAATGTGAGGTGTATACTTCCTCTGGGGCCCATGTCATATGTTCGCCAGTTAGATAGGATCGGGCCGCTTACCAGAATCCAACGAGAGATAATCCGGCTAACAAGATGCTCGAACAGGGTTGACGACAAGTCCGCATCCGAGTATGGCCTCGAGGCTGGCGCCACGTTGCATTTGGTCCTTGCTCTTCGCGGTGGGAACTAGATTGATTCCCAATAACGGCTTTGGGCATCAGAAGACAGGAGGATGACAGGACAAAGGTGGTTCTCAGTGTTCTGGACCGGAGCATATATCAAATTTGGGGTCGGTAGGAGATGTCACGCAGTGGCCATGTCTTCTTTCGACAGAAGGGAATCGAAAATTGCCCGTCGAAGGGATCTGGAAGACCGAGGCAGGGCGCAAAGCCAGGCTTTCTTATCTCTTGTAAGAAAGGGCCTGCTTTGAGGTTTTACATCAAACACAGACAGCTACCTAGCGCATGAGGACTACGTGCGATAACCCGCACATGGAGAATAGAGCTGTTCACACAATTGCAGCAGTGAAATGTGAAATAGTGCCGAGTTGACGTATACCTTCAAATGATTTCAATTTAATTCTGCTGTGATCGGCAAGACCACCTTATGAAGCATGAGGGTATATACCATATCCTGCCCGACGCCTGAATTCCAAAGCTATGTAACTTGTCCCTGTGCCAACGCCCGACTACCTTATACACTGCAGGCCCATGATTCTGCATTTCCAGCCATGCCAGACCATACCGTCCCTCAGCGTCTCGTCTTCTTTTTGGGCATAAAGATGTCGACAGCCTTTCTCTTCCTGGGCAGTTCCTGATTGCCCAAAACTGGTCGAGCTGGTTGTACTTCGTCCAAGGACATTGGCAAAGGAGGGGACTGTGGACCGTTATTCTGAGCAAGCAATTTGTGAGTCCGAGATGGTTCCGTATTTGTAGAGGATGGCTCGGGTCTGGACGGTGGGCGTTCAAATCGAATGTTGCTTTTGGGCCGAGGGGCATTTCCGAGAATACCACCACCACGACGCGGGCCCGACGTCTGTGAGCTAAAAGAGGTAGACTGCTTGAAGCCAGAACTATATCTGGCGGACGTAGAAGAGCTGCGATCCTTGAATGCAGACGATTGGGAAGGGTTTGCAGATTTGGAGGAGATTGTCGTATCCCGGTTGTTGCGAGAGGAATACATCGCGGCCTTGCCCTTCTTGGGCGTTCCCTCATTGCCAAACAAATCACCCTCCTCGCCATCTGATGAATCGGACACATATGTGGCCTTAGTCTGCGCAACATATGTAGAGTGCGTGGGTGGGCGGCTGCTGGTAGACGTAGGCCGAAAGACGGGTTGGCTCGAGATCCGGTGCTCAGCAGCCATTGAGGGCGGAGCTTTGTTCAGTCGAGGGGCCCTGATCATGCCAGTAGGGACCGCCATGGTGCTCCTTATGCCGACAATCTCCTTGGCCTCTCTGCGGGCTTTCTTCATAACGCTAGCACCCGTTGTCGTCTTCATCCTGCTTCCAGCGGCCCAACTCAGTGTACTCGGGAGTTCCTTCTTGCCTCGAGGCAGTGTCGAAAAGGTGCGACCCGTCTTGGGCGGTTTAGGCAAAAACCTGGCGAACTTGGGGTCAACAATTCGGCTAACATTGTTGTCCTTTTTTTGCTGAAGACCCTGGACCCTGGCGAGAAGCTCGGCCTCGGCCTGCTGCTGAGCCTCGCGGCGTTCTTCTGCATAACGCTCATATATCTTGTACCACTTTGACGGATTCTTAGGCGCGTAATTCTTTTCGTGGCTTTCGGACGGGAATTCCTTCTTAATAAGGCGCAGCCAGAGTTCGGAGGTTTCGCCTTGAATGAAAGGGGAGTTGAGCTCAATCTCTCGGAGCTGAGCCGGGTTTATGACCCTAAGGAGGATGTCGCGAACATGGTGGTATTGGAGGGCGTCGCCATTCCCTACGCTGCTGAGTTCTGTGATGTGTCTCTGGCACATTGCAATGCACAACTCGGCAAGTGATTTAGTCGGCGCCATGATGATTGTTGTAGCTGGGGTCTTCCACAAAGCACCTAGCTAATGGTATGTCTCGCTGCCGACGTAATGAAGAGGCTCGGTAGTGCGGTTGCTTATAAGGAACGGTTGAATCATAGGCTCATTGTTGAAATAACGGACCGAAGGAATATCTAATTTGGATAGCAGGTTGATGTAGGAGAAAGTCTCTGTGAAAGGTAGAAGGGTGCCCTTCAAGGCCCTGTGGCAACAGGCTGAGCCGATATGAAGCTCTAAGGTATACTGGAAAGTTGTATCTTCGTTGTTGCTGGTGTAAGTGGTGGCGGGAAGGTGCAGGTGGATGGGTCTTTTTAAAAGAGGTCACGAATACCAAAGTTCCAGATCTGTAGTGGGGCATGCGGCTTTTAAGTGGTCCCCTAAGCTAACTTGGACAGGCCCTTGTCAAGAGCTAGGTACCTCTCGTGATGCTCGATGGCCGTGCTCACCTTCTGTGCAAATAGGTTTGTTTTCTAAGTACTCCTCTATTCTCTAGAAGATAGAAGCCAGACAAGAAACTTGCTTGCCTCTCAAGCCAGTGCACACACATACACACATCCTACAGCAAAGCAGAACTCTAGCGCACACAGTTTGGTTCCGGATCTGCGAATGCAATGGTAGGTAGGCACTTGAGAACCTCCAGAAGCAGAGGTTACCTAGCCCCATTTCACCCATGTCACATGATTTTTGAGCTAGTCCATTTTGGGGCACGAAGGCACCTCTATGCTGGTGTTCGGGGTGGATCCTCACTTTCATTCCCAGCTCCCCAGTTGCTTGCCTGTGAAGGAGCTAAAGATAGATGTGGGCTATTCTGTTCCCTCTGCCGTCATTGCAAAAACCAACAATCTTACCTCGACTTTGCGACCTTGGATAGCAACGGAGCGTCTGAGATACCCAGAATATTCGATATGGCGGAATCGACATACATCAAACCCGAGCCATATATCAAGCCTGATCCCGAAGCCATACCTGCCGCTCCCGTCGACGACGACGACCTATACGAAGATGCTGGCGATCTAGAGTTCTTTGATCAATTGAGCGATCAAGGCTCCTTCGGTCAGGCATACCTAGCAAGGGTTCCGAAGGACCTGTGGGAAGCATGGGATAGCTTGCCGGATGATGCTGAGATCGAGATTGGCACAATGCGACAGTGGGACGTGGTGCGTCCAGATGGCGGCGTTGAGGTAATGTGACACACGCGACGCGACAAGGCCGAATAAATAGCTGGGCTGACTGTTCTTGCATAGCATCGTTTCAAAATGCTACTTAATTCCGATCGCGCGGAGCACCAACTGATGCCCAAAGAATATGACTTGGAGATGGGGAAGGAAATTGCGCGTAGCACGTTCGTTTTCACCGAGGAGGACCTACCCGGCTTCAAGGCCAAATCTAAGGCAAGGACCGATGCCGCGAATGCTGGCATCCCGGCTCGATTCCTGAGACCCAAGGCGGAGAAGGTGGAGAAGAAACCATTCGAGAAGGGTCGCCGATGGCAACCGTACTACCGCAAAGCGATTCCAAGTCAGTTTGATGTCCGTAATTCGGCGTAGGTCAGAGACTGATTCAACACAGAGAAGACAAAGATTGCTGCCAGAATCCAGTACGAGCTGGCGTGCAAGCCAGTCGACAACGCCGAGAGTCAGGCAATTCTACAACGGAAGCAAGTCGAGGCTCAGCGGCCCAAGCATACCCTGCAGATCATGGAGCAGCGCGCAGCCAACAGCATTATCCACCATGGGTCTGCTGCAGCGGTTGAGAAGTTTGGCTCCTTCATCGTAAGTACTCTGAGGGAGTTGGTAGATCCATTGCTGATGAGGAATAGAAAACCTCTGCGCCTACCAAGGCAACCAAGCCAAAGAAATCCGAAAACAGGTCCGCCCGTATGTCGGAGGAACAGTTGTTGGATGGCCTCATGGAGGCTTTTAGGAAGTACGAGTACTGGAAAATGTCAATTCTCAAGGCTAGATTTGACCAGCCCGAGGCTTTCTTACGCCAAACCTTGGAGAAGATTGCTGTATTGAACAGGTCTGGTATTCATGCCAATGAGTGGTCGCTTCAGGAGCACTTGAAGAGCATGGCATCCGGCGCCACTAGCGAGACGGCACCGGAGGAAGCCGCCGCAGAAGATGACGACGACGAGGTGGTTATGGAGGACGTAGTGTAGTGAACGATTGTAATTATACAAAGATCGGGCCACGGAACCCGCAGGGCATCGCAAGGCGTTTGGAAGGGCACTTTTTTTTCCTAACGGAAAATCTCGGATGGTGGTGGCTCTTACATTTAGGGACTTTTTGATACCCTATGAGAGACATTGGGCGACGATGAACGTGCCGTAGGGCTCTCACAGCTGTCCCTATCATCACAGAACAATAGAGCGAGACAGAGTGAAGTTGATTCGTATTCTGACTGAGATTCAACGTATGGAGTCTCAAACTCGACAGATGGGGCAATACCGTGTTCTCTGTCCCAGCTTTTTAGTTGAGAACTGGTGTTTTCATTTCATGGCTGAACACCATCTTTGATCAAAGTGGGGAACTAAACTGTCATCAAGACACCCCCTCGACTTGACAGAGTTGGGTCGAGCCTTTTGCCAATCACCCTTCGCCAATACACCTCCAAGGCCGCTCTCCATCATTTCTGCGTTGCGCAAATGCCTCAAAGTGCCCTCAGTCTCGTTTTGGACTTTGATGGGACGATTACGACAAAGGACACAATCGGTACATTGGCAGAAATCGGCCTCCAGTTTCAGCAACAGCACGGGATCGATCTCTCTTCGACATGGCAGCGGATTCTGGTAGAATACAGCAAAGATCATGCAGATCATTTGTCCGAGTATCGACCAATCGCCGATGGCAGACTTTCACTCGAAGACGAGCTCGCCTTCTTACGGGGCCTGAAGGAAGTTGAGCTGAGATCCGTCCAGAGAGTCGAGAACTCAGGCGTCTTCCGGGGCCTGAGCCAAGAACATCTCGCTATTGCCGGTGCAAATTCCCGAAAGGAAGGGACAGTCAAGCTACGGGATGGGTTTTCGGAGCTCATGGATGCGGCCAAACAGAAGGGCTGGTCCGTCGCGGTAGTCTCCGTCAACTGGTCGAGATCATTCATCAAGGGTGTTCTCTCCGACTATAGCGTTGACGTTGTTGCTAATGAAATTGAGGTGGATGGAAGCATCTCAGGACCGGATTTTATGGGCTCTCTGGCGCGGCAGACGGCCCTGATGACGTGCGAGGACAAGCTGCAGGCTCTTCAAACATTGGCAGCGCGGCAAGGAGCTGAGGATACCAGGACACTGGTGTATTTTGGTGACTCCACTACAGACATCGAGTGTCTTTTGGCAACCCGTGGAGTCGTGATATCATCTGACGCCGAATCGAGCTTGATGAGGACTTTGAGGAGAGTAGGGTACCAAGTGCCAAGAGTGAAGGAGGGTCGGGCGTCCGAAGGCACAGTCTGGGCATCAACATTTGTAGAGGTTCTCGAAAGCGAGTTTCTATCTTTGGAAAACAGTTCCGAATAGGCCTTCAGTCCTGGAATCACTCTCCGTCGATTCTTGGGCCGCACGAATGTCACGTTAGGCAATGACATTGTGTGACAGTCGGCCTTTTGTTCAGAAATGCTGAGTCTAGAACAGTGCAAGAAACTTATTCCCATGTACTTCTTTGGCACAGAATACGTCTTAGAGCCCTACGGTATTTCACACTTGTCAGAAAACAGCTCTAAAGTTTCAAAATTCGAGATCTGTTCAATTTACGTGACTTGGGCTACGCTGTCCATATCGAGGATATAAACATTCCTATTTTCGGTTCCAAAGCTACCATGCTAAACGATATATTCAACGACGACGCAGCTGAAGTTGTAACTGCTTTCAATATTTTGCCTTCGTTCTCGTTTCGAGCAATCATGTGTTTCTACCGCGCCACCGTGTATGAGTGCATGCACAGCGAGCTCGGTAAGAAGGTTACAGACTGCAAGAAGCAGCAGGATATCCTTGCCTACACGGAAGGCAATGTCAGAACGTGCAGCGAGCGCCAGGTGCACTCGATGAACCGCGTTCGAAAAGCTGGAACATGTGTCAAGTGCCAGCGCCTTGACGACCTCAAAAGTCGCACGCGGAACGCATTCAAAAGCCTAAAGGAAAACCTAGAAAAGCGCAAGACTTTTGATGACGGTTCTGGCGACGATGGCTCTAAAGCTCATGAGACCTTCGAAGCCGTCGAAACTCCCAAAATCAGCCTCACCAACGACGAACTCGATGATGAGAATATTTCGTTGAAGGTAAAGACCTTGGAGACCTCTAAGTCCTGTCATGAAGCGTCCGAAACTGATGATCAGAGCACGAATGTCGCCAAATATTTCGATGCGGGAGGGAACTCAGGGCTTTCCAGTTTAATGAACAAGTCAGAAGAAGCCAGTCGTTTCTGCAAACCTTGTGACTAGATAACAATGTCACGCGCCAGTACGTTTTACTTTATTTTGCCTGATGCTGCGCTATGCAGCTGCATGTACTAGGTGCGTTTGATGATAGACAAAAGCTACATGTTTGTGAATCTATCTCGAATGATGCGGATTTTATGTCACCTAGGGATTTCTTATTGGGATTTTTCATTTCAACTGTGCAGCAGGACGGAAGCACGACTGCATCGTGTCCCTGATTATACTACATGATCAGATGACTACGTAAGCCCAACGACTCTATCTATTCCATAGAATACTCCATATATCAATATAATCTCTCGCAAAATGGATGCGCTGTCGTTCTGCGTGCATTGTAGCAGCTACCTGAAAATTTGACCAGCCTGTGAATGAGTGGTAGCCCTCAGCTTTGGGTTTTGCCAGCAACATAGACATCGTGATTTTGGAGCATTGCACGGAGTTCCTTAGCTGCTTCTCCTTATAGAGAGAGGTGTTTGGGAGACGGAAAGGAACTTGAAAGGCTGCTTTGCTGCTACTGTCTTGTTCGCTTTGTTCATCATGGCCCTCCTTCCTTGTCAGCTCCGTTCACTGGGCGCAATGATAATAAAGTAGAAAAGCGAGATTTGGAATGCTATTCATCTTATGTGTCTTGTGAGCAAGGAGGGAGAGGGTCTTCTCCTGGAAAGATTACTTATCATGTTGCTGATCAATATTCCCACTACCTTTTGCTTGGGATTGTATCTTGATGGTAACGAATTTTGCCCCTTTTGTTTTTACTCTGAAGGACCTGTTACTAAGGAGCTTGCCCAATCGAGTACTCCCCGATGCTGTAAATCTCCATAGACTCTCGCATACTGCTGGCTTGAGTTGACAAGCATGCCCGTACTTCCTTTTGAATGATAGTCTTTATTATGTGAGCAAGGAAGAGGACCTTTTTGTGAAAATGACGTTGCCTTCATCAAGTTGCCTACTTGACCGATTTCGTCAAATGCATTCGGGACGTAGGCACCGGCCAGTGATCATCATATCCAAGACGCAAAAGCTGTCTCGGCGACCGCAAGGAATATCCCCAGCCCATGGCTGAACAGAATCAACACGAACTATCGGAGAAGGGCTATGCTATAGGAAGGTAGCACAGACAGTATTTCCCAGACCCAAACCATTCCCGGTGTCCCACTAATAGAGCATGGTTGGGTTATGATAGAAGTTTGCAATAACGGGATTTTTACTGCAACATTGCCCTGTCTCTGTGAGCTGGCTCGAGGAATGCTGTTAGACATCCTCGGCGTCCACCGCCTCAATTTCTAGTCTTCCTCCCCCGCGTGTTTTGTTGTTCAAAGAGGAATACACTGCCATTCACAGTCAATATCCTCCAAGGTCAGTTGTCTGCGGCGAGTTGGAGAAAACAAGTAAGGCAAAGTACCTACTGATGCCCCGAAGCTCAGCGAGGCACCCTCCAAGTCGACCTAAATTATCTAAAATGAGTCATACTATATCTGGCGGCATGGTATTTTAATCTTCCGATGACCTCCTCTAGGCCAAAGCCCAGATCTGGAGACTTCATCACAGCAAAAGGCTTGTCGGTGATGGTGGATGCGAAACCGACCGCTCGACTTTGGTTCTATTGTTCCGTAAGCATTATACTGAGCCGTCGAGCAGAACGGCGAGGGCTGGGATCAAATCAAGTCTGTTTCAATGATAACATAAGTTGGAGTTATAGTGAGGGAGGCCTACTAGTAGCGTTTTGAAGATCAACATCTGAAGTTATTCGATCAAGGCAAAGGCTGGAGACTGCGCAGTATAATCAGATGCTTTTTGACGGAAGAGAAGGAACCCAGACAACCTAGCTGTCTTTTCAGGGCCGGAGAAACCATCGGCAACGCGAAGCTATGGCTTATAGAATCCATTGCTCTGGCAAAGTAATAATGTTTGCATTTAACCTGAAAGATTCCTAGATAGTAGCACATTGTGTATGGTTCACAGCTATAAATCATTGAACTGTCCAATGAGAAACATGAAAAAAAAACAGAGTATCTGTTGCCTGGATGTGCAACTTCCGGTCTGCGAAGATAGACATGGCGACCGCGGTGGTTCCTGGCAGAACAACAAGTAAGACATGTCACATGACATCTCTTACCTCAGAATGGGGACTGCAGAAGGGGGACTTTGCATGGATTACGGCAGCGGTATGAGGAAGGATTAGGTCCCGTGTGCCGGATGTAGACTCCGACATCCGGGTCCGATTCGGTCGAATCATATCGGGAGACGTACTGCTGTCTGTCATCTGGAATGCCGGGAACCGCCTCACAGCGACTCGAATCCCTCGCCTTGTGTGAATACTATCTGAGATTGACTGTGAAAGTCACTGGTATTGTTTCTGTGTTTTCGACTAGTTCTCTTTTGCGTACACTTGGTCTGATTCTGCAACCGAACCAGAAGGGTTGGTTCCAATGTGACGCGGCTCTAGATGAATCAGACCTGGGCTGTAAATTCACACAAAATCGTATTTCAAGAGCGATTCCCAAGAACAGGAAACTCGTTGTTGCACAGTGGCCGTATCGCCGCCGTTGGCATTGCGTGGAACTGGAGTCTCAGCTCCAGCCTCCTCCGAGCAAGGTCTGGGTCTGAGCGGCGAAGCTGTCGAGGAAGAAAGGCATCCGGCGGCAAGAAGACTGGATGAGACAATTCAGACACGACGGAGCCAGGTGTCAGGTCACTTTGGACGGGTTGCAGTGCCGACAAGCGAGCACAAATGCCAAAACGCGCAAAGCATGGCAGCGGCGGGTTGGGAGCACATGCAGGAATGTTTGTGGATACGCGGACATGGGCGCGACCGAACCCCCAATTCCTGCTTTGACGGCTGAAGTGCAGACATGGATGAGACCCGGTGGACTTCTCAGGGTCCTATTGAGTCTTGCGGTTCATAGGGATGTGAAGATTCGAGTATCAACAAGTCATCCGATGGAACCAAGAGGTTGAGTCTGGATCAACCGCAAAATTAGCCCCCTGTGCTCGCCCTCTAGCTGTCAAATGCCGTGTTGATTATTATTGCCGTGCTTTGCTTCGAGACTCAGTCTGTTAAGCGCATATAGGTAAAGGCGGCCTGAAAACGCGGTGGGTGAACATGGCACGGAGCTGTTTTTACACGCCTGGAGGGTGGGCGTTGGAGACAGCAGACACGAGGTGCATGGGATAGGCCTTGTTGGATTAGGTGAGGTGATCTAAGCTGCCAAGCGATGCAATGCAAAGCAGCCTGGGGCGGGTTGAGAACGTTGGTGTCTAGTGTTTGGCGTTATAGCACTGGACGCGGTGAATGATGTTGCAGCTGAAGAGGGCCGTGCATAAACGAGTGTAGCGTCAGCCAGGTTGCAATGGGAGTAAAATGATGCATTTGACGCGCCAGAAAATGGAACCATCATGTGCATAGACTTGTGGTCTGAGTGTCCCAAATTGGCGGTCTAGGAGTTGGTGGAAAGAAAGCCACTGAAAGCGCATCTCGGCGAGAACGATCTAAGTAGCATGCGCAAACGCAGCTCTGATGAGATCATCAGCGCTTCTTCCACACTAGTGATGTATAGTATCGGCTGAGGGATGATGCGGGCGGTGTCTCGGGACACAGGCCAGTTCTTCAATCAACTGGTTACCGAGTATCTAGACGGCGACCCAAAGCTCGACGAGGTGAAAGAAAGCGATGCCCTCACAGGTAGCAACGGTGGATAAGCTGGGGTTGCGGGAAGTGTTCGTTCACCAATGCACCTGGCCTTATTTGCAGGTACCTCCGTTTCGACAAACTCGTTGGGAACCCCCGTGTGTCGATATGTAAGAGACTCACATCGAGTCCAAGTGGCGCCTTGGGCTTCGGTCGGGTAGTACGAATACATCCCTTGTGTAAGGTAGATAAAGATGATCTACGGATAATATCTTAGCATGCCAACGCGGAAGGGAGAGGTTGAGGCCTGCCTACGTGCCTACCACGTGCATACCTAGGTATGCACGTGCTACGGTATGGTGAATGGCTTATGTAATCATACGCTTTACACTAGCAACGTGTATGCATGCACCTCACCTCATGGGACCTAAGGCACCCCAGATGTCGTACCTGCCTTACCCTACCTCATTGGCCTTACCTATGTCAGGGACGTACAACATCTCCTTAGGTTTTCGAAAGGCGCCTATATTTAGGTACCTTTCCGTCCAAAACCGTCCAAAACCCCCATACAGTCCAATAAAGGCCAAGCTAAGTAAGGCTAGTTGGCGTTGTTTATCAGCGGAATTTTGGAAGCCATCAAGTTGCCAAGCCGAAGCTGTGCACAGTTTCTGTATACTACTGCATCGCCAGTGCCTCAAGATCAGGATGTGCCTCACGGAGCGGGTTGGCGGGAGTGAAGTAAATTGCACCAACTGGCAACTGCTTGTAAAGTGGAACCCAAGGGGAAGGGACAAATAGAAGGCTGCTCACTCTTCCCCCCCGCAACCGCGTGCACGCTGCACGCGGATATCAATCAGGGTCTGGCGGCATCGCTGCACCAGTCCTCAAGGCAAAGGACGTGGTAAAGGCTGTAAAGATATTGGACCGGGTGTCGCAGCATCCACTTGGAGCATAACATCAATTATCACTCTCCAGTCCTGCACATTCGAGGCAGTGTTTGCATTGTTTGTATTTCTCTCAATGTGCCGCGAGAGAGACAGAGACGGGAATGGTGCCTACAACAGAGACATGAGACAAACGTTGGACTGACTGCGCTGCGCTGGAAGACGAACGGGAATGGTGCATGACGGGCACACAAGCATCTGACAACCCTGGTCTCCTGCAGCGCTTGCTCTTGGTCGTGATCAAATGGTTCACCTTAGCGGGCGCCGCTTTGAGGGGTCTGAGACTTGACTGAAGAGTCAAGAGTAAGATTTGAGAGACTCGACAAGTTTGGGTGTTTATTGTGCTATATCCCTCCCGTCGCATATCGAGTCCAATCTTCTTTCATCTCCAGCGCCTCCCATCTCTTATTAAGGGTCGCCTCCCAGAAGCA